AAGCTCAAAAAAGATAACTATAGGCAGTTTAGTTGGGTACAGTTTTTTGCTAATGTGTTTTCGATGGGTACATGATGCTGCACGTGTACAATTCTTGCTTTGGGGCTTATAATCTGTTACTGCAAACCCTAGCTATGAAGAACCTCAGTAGGGTCAAGTCCAAGAACCTCAGTAGTGTCATGCTGACAGGCACTGAGTAACCACGGTCAAGCCAAATGTCTGTGAGACTTACCTTTCTCTTCTGTAAAATGAGGAGAAGAAAGATCTACTTTATAAACTGTAAGATGCTTTTTCTTTTGGTTCGGGAAGAACCTTGGACAGGAAGGAAAACAAAAATGTATCAATCAATCTGAGAATCACTTAGTTATTACATGGGCCCCAAGCCCAGATGTTATTAGCTAAATTTAAAAGGAATGATCTTGGAAATAAGAAATCCAAATAAGAATTTCTAGTTATTAAATTATGAGTGCTACTCACTGGCCAAGCAATCATTGATTTCCTTAAAGCCCTAAGCAATGCTATAAAACAGAAGACTGTATCTGCTTTCAAGAGATTACAATGAAGTTAATCATTTAGTTGCACTTTAGGGCATTTGTGTTATTATTTATGGTAACTTAGGAAATGGGAAGTATTAAAGGACCTATGAAAATACCGTAAATCAATTTTATAGTGTATAAGCTGGCATATTTTTCAATTTGTTTGCAAGGTTGGCTAAATGATTGGCATAACAGTGGTTACTCTCATAAGGCTTTGAATATATAGCTTTAAATGATTTTTACAAGTAAAAATAAAATGTTGTAGTCATTTAGTTTAGCTCAACGAACATTTATTGAGGATATAATGAGTAATCAAAGCTTGCCAGGTAGCAGAAACAAACAATTGCAAGTGGATGGGAAATGCTGGGACTGAAGTACACACAGAGAGCCACAGAAGCCCTGCAGGGACTTGCGGGTAAGGAGGGATGCCAAGAAGCCTGCTATGCGGAAGAAGCAATGTTCTGGCTGAGACCTGAAAGTTTCAATGTAATGTGGGAGGAAGAGCAAATGGAACAGCGTGTGAAAAGACACGGAGGCATGAGACCACATGGTGTTTTTAGAGACCAAGGTGGACCTCAGGATGAGTGTATGGCAGTAAGAAATGAGATGGGAAGGGGTCAAATCATGGGTGGCTTGCTTGTTTGATCATTTTCCTAGCAGTGACAGCCACTGAAGGATTCACATTTAAAGAGTACAAGATCGGTGTTTTTAAAATGCCCTCATCAGTATTTCTAATTGAACAAGGATGGACAACAGCTGCATAAGAAAGACTAGAGGTAGAATTCTCAGCCGGGGATCATGGAATGCAAATATCCCTTTACTGACACAAGGGACAAGTGTTGGCCCCAAACATTAATTACTTGATACCACTATTAGCTGTTCATTCAGTTTTTTAACTTCGTTAGAGCAATTTTATTTATAATCCATTTTTCCCCAAGTACCCATTACATATAGAAATATTATCGCTCCTGTCACTGATGAAACATATTAAGAAAAGTAAAAAATACACATTCTTTAAAGTGCCTCCCTTTTAAGGATTTTGTATCAATGAAACACTGATTGTGGATTTCATGTATAGTCTTCAGAAGTCACATTATATAAGCTCTGACTATCAATAGCAGCTTAATAGGCTCTAGAAAACAAAGCATTACCAAGTATAGGTAAAATTATACATATTTGAAACTTACATCATTAGTTTCCTACCAATGAGTGATTCATCATAATTTTCATTATGCCTTCAAAATCCCTGAGAGAGGCCAGAAACCCATTCTGCTGATAAAGAAACTGAGGTAAAGAGTTTTCTCTTTGGCCTCAGTGTGAGAGCCTGGAATATGTCAGAGAGATTATTGCTTTTGACTTATCAAGTTTCTTGATCCCTCCTTACACCCTTAAGTTTTAATGTTCCTCTTCTAAGTTCAAAAGTGAGGAATACTTGAGATTTGTTTTGTGTATTGCAAGTATATTGCATGATATGTACAAAGTGTTCAAAGTGCATGGTACCATAAGAAGCTAAAGCCAGGAGCTGTCTCTCTGACTGTTCAGTTTAGAAGAAAGGATATGTAAAATTGGTTATCAATGAAGCATTGATTGTGGAATTCATTTACAGTCTTCAGAAATCATAGTATATAATATGTGCATTAATATATTTTTTTTGTTTGTTTAAATCACAGTCATCTGTCTGAAGCATCTTCACTGGATTCTTCTTGTATAAGAAGTTCATAGCTTCCCTCATTCCAGCTGGTACACTTGACAACACTGTAAAAGCAAACCAGAGATTTTAAAATTGAGATTAAGACAATATCTAAATGAGTAATCTGTTTTCCAACTTTTTTCCCAGTTACATCGCTTTTAATGAATTATGGCAAATTATCAGGAGGAGTATCCTGGCATTTTGAATCCAGCTGACTCATGCATGGTGCTCTGAAAATAATTTTAAAACTACATGATTTTTTTCTCTTCTAGACCCCTAAGATATCCCATCTGTCCCATTGTTAACTCTGCGTAGTCCACATAAAATAGTTATCACTAAAGTCATTACTGAAGTTCCTGTTGAATAGCTATAACTGAAGCTCGGAAGCACGGACATTTGGAGGTAACAAAGCATGTAATTCTGATTTTTAAAATATTAAGCAGTATAGGGATAAAAAGAATCTCAGGAGCCCATCTACATTCACCTCATTATTAAAAGGACAATTGCCTTTTATCTATCTGTTAATAGAATTTATAAATATATGAAGAATAAAATTAGAATTATCCATTATTCTATACACCATGTATGCAATTATTTTCATTCATTTAAATTTTATTTTCCTAATTAAAAAAAAAAAATCTTTTTTTTTTCTTTGGCCAGGCACGTTGGCTCACGCCTGTCATCCCAGCACATTGGGAGGCTCAGGCAGGCAGATGACCTGAGGTCAGGAGTTCCAGACCAGCCTGGCCAACATGGTGAAACCCCATCTCTACTAAAAATAAAAAATTATCACACCTGTAATCCCAGCACTTTGGGAGGCTGAGGCGGGTGGATCACGAGGTCAAGAGATCAAGACCATCCTGGTCAACATGGTGAAACCCCGTCTCTACTAAAACTACAAAAAATCAGCTGGGCATGGTGGCGCGTGCCTGTAGTCCCAGCTCTTCAGGAGGCTGAGGCAGGAGAATTGCCTGAACCCAGGAGGCGGAGGTTGCGGTGAGCCGAGATCGCGCCATTGCACTCCAGCCTGGGTAACAAGAGCGAAACTCCATCTCAAAAAAAAAAAAATATATATATATATATATTAGCCAGGTGGTGGTGCACGCCTATAGTCCCAGCTACTTGGGAGGCTGAGGCAGGAGAATGGCTTGAACCTGGGAAGTGGAGGTTGCAGTGAGCCAAGATCGCACCACTGCACTCAGCCTGGGCGATAGAGTGAGACTCTGTTGGAAAAAAAAAATCTTTTTTTTGTAAATATGAGGGTCTCGCTATGTTGCCCAGATTTGTCTTGAACTCCTGGCCTCAAGCAATCCTCCTGCCTCAGCCTCCCAAAGTGTTGGGATTACAGGCATGAGCCACCGTGCCTGGCTACAGCTCTTATTAATTAAGTCATTTTTTATGCTGTACCATCATTTACTTAAACATTTTCCTACTGTTGGACAGTTTGGTCATTTAAAATTTTTTGTTGTAATTAATGTTTTTATATATCAATTTTTGATAACAGTGATGATTTCTTTAGAGTATGTTTCTAAAAGGAATTGGTGGATCAATCACTACGAACTTTAAAGAAAAAGCTTTTGATACATTCATGAATCGCTTTATGATATAGCCCAAGAAGCACTATTATCAACAATGTATAAGATCAATTGTCTCATCTGTGCTCACCCGCACAGTATGTATTTGTAATGTAGTTAATTCAACAGCTAAATAGTCTCTTTTTAAAAAAGATAACTCGTATAAATAACTTTTCATCAAAATTAGAGGAACTGCAAATACTGTTGTTCTCTGACACAGATGTAGGTATCAGAATTCAATAAGACAGTAAGTACCAAGCTCCTACTATAAGACTGAGCCAGCCCTTTAAGGAGTTTGTCATGTTGGCAGGATGCTTAACACCTGTGTTTATAGGTACCTTCCTCCCTAACTCAGAGCCTCACCCCAAAGTGCTTAGGAGAAAGCAGAGAAGGCCTGGCTTCTTGTGCCCCCTTTGCCTTGATTCCCGTCATTGTGTCACACTGGCAGCCACCATGCTATGCTATCACCACATGAAATAGAGCTCAGTGGAAACAGATTAATGCATCAGATAAATTTGCTTGGACATCTCAGCAATCACTCATCTAGTTGGCTCACATTTTTTGTCAAATAGAAAGAAAAAAGGCATACATATTGCTTTTATCTTTATGCTTCTATCTCTTCATTATATGTACTATTCATAAATGGGATTTTGTGCTTCTTTAATTTGAATATTTATTTAAACATTTAAACATTAAAGTTTAAACATGTCATTAAAACAAGACAAAGCCATTAAACAAGTCCGCTCTGGAAAGAGAACCCTATAGTCAGCATATCCTATCTGCTTTTGTCATTTATACAAGAATCCGTGTGAAAATCAATCTCCTTTTGACCATCAGGGGATACTGCACTCTGGGAAATCATAGTTTGAAGGTATACATCTCTAATCTTAGATACTGATTTAATCAGTGGTCTGAAGGCGGGGAGTTATAACGAACACAATCTTTCTTTTAATTCTTCATTCATGTCACTCTTGTTCTTCCTAAGTCTCCCAAGATTATTGACATATGCTTTTACATCTATTTATTTTATTTGTTTATTTTAATGAGATGGGGGTCTTGCAATGTGGTCCAGGCTGGTCTTAGACACCTGGGCTCAAAATGAGCTTCCCACCTCAGTCTCCTGACTAGCTGGGACTTTAGGCATACACCACCATGACTGGCTCTCTTTTTTTTTTTTTTAAATTAAAAAATTTATTTTATTAAAATATGAAGTGCTTCATGAATTTTCTTGTCATCCTTGCACGGGGAGCATGCTAATCTTCACTGTATTGTTCCCATTCTGTATATGTGCTGCTGAAGTGAGCGCTTCATGTCTGAAAGTTCTTGAGAAAAGCACATTCTGAGGCAAAATTTCAACAGATCTATGTGATTTTACTGGTGAGGTTAGGGAATTCACTGAATCCCTATGCCCTTTGATAAAATGATTAGAAATCATGACATACCACAGACTGATTGCTGGAAGTAGTAACAGACCAGCAGACAGCAGGAAAGGGAAGCCAGGGTACCAAGCAACAGTGGCTGAGTAAATTCCATTGAAAGTAGAAACCGCAGTGACTCCTCCAAGTGTTTCTAAGAAAGCAATACAAGCAAACAGGGTACCTGTTTGGGGTAGGGATATAGAGGGAGAAAAAAAAAGGCAGAATCACAAAACAACAAACGCAAACTAATGGAGACTATCGTTATTCATGGAAAACAGTAAACATTGGTGAATGAAATGAAAGTGATTCCCCCAAAATCCCTGAGAAGTCAGCAGCCCATTCTACAGCTGAGGAAACGAAGGGAAAGATTCTCCTTGGATCCGACGTGAGAGAGGTTGAAAACTCCAAATAGCCAAGTTCCAGTGTCCGCAGGACAAAGCTGAAAAGACACTGCAGCTGACTCATTTGAAAACTGCCTGTCTCCCCTCTCTGCCACAGCTCCAGGCAAAGCCACACCTACCCCTGCTCTTCAAGATGCTGTCTCCCACCCTCTATCCCTGTGCTAATCTGTGTGTGACACCTGAAAGCGCAGGATGGCTCTGAACAAGCACTGCTTCCTGCAAGAGCCTTTTGAAAGGTAAAGAAAACCTTATATGCTCCTCAGTCTGGCAAGAGTGACAGCTGCAGGCAGAGAGGAGATTCTTACCATACATTCTGCAATTGGAATTTTATCCCTCTCTTCGAAGTGACCAAAAAATTCCATCACCCCTAGATTTTGCATGTTTGACACATGAAATCAACCATCCTGTGCACTAGTGAAGGTTTATGCCACAGTTTAATATTAAGTGACTCTTTAAAACATACATTTCCACCTTACTGCTTGCAACTGCCTCTGCCTTAAGGTGCCTTACAAGATGAAGAGTGGGAATTCTGCTACGGTCACTTGCTATACACCAAATTTGGTCAAGGGTAGGTAGGCCACTCAGCATCGTTCATAAAGTCTAAAATGACTGCATGGTCAGTAAAAGCTCACAATCAGAGAGAAACAGACATTATTCTACTGATGTTTAGTTGTGTCTGGAAGCCAAGACAATGTCAACTGAAGAGTTAAACCTCCAAAAGACGGGCTGGCCATCTTCATGTGCTTTTCTTCCTCTTTGTCAAATTTTGCATCACCAGATTGAATAAAATTTCGTGACCATTTTCAGTCAGATTGACCTGGCTTTCTCGGTGTCAGAAAGCTTCTGCAGCCTTCGTCACCAAGCCACTGAGCTTGTTCCCTACTTTGCCAAGTTTATTTTTCCATGATAAACTGTAACGCATTTTTCTTATTGACAATACAAATCGTGTAAATAATTGTGTTTGCCTGGACTGATAGGAAGGAAAGGCCAAGTTTGAGGGTTACCTCTCAAAATTAGATATGGTTTTTGTTTACATTCTAATTTTCCCCATGGTTTTGATCTTTTAGACTGTGTATTGATTTTTATATTTAAACTTTTTTTTTTTTTTTTTTTGAGACGGAGTTTCGCTCTTGTTACCCAGGCTGGAGTGCAATGGCGCGATCTCGGCTCACCGCAACCTCCGCCTCCTGGGTTCAGGCAATTCTCCTGCCTCAGCCTCCTGAGTAGCTGGGATTACAGGCACGCACCACCATGCCCAGCTAATGTTTTGTATTTTTAGTAGAGACGGGGTTTCACCATGTTGACCAGGATGGTCTCGATCTCTTGACCTCGTGATCCACCCGCCTCGGCCTCCCAAAGTGCTGGGATTACAGGCGTGAGCCACCGCGCCCGGCCATTTAAACTTTTTCATTTTGTTGTACATATTCTCATATCTTGCTTCAAATTATTCATTGAATGATAGGGCATACATTCATAAAACATACACCTATCTCTGCGAAATACTGTGTGCTCACTTACGTGTCTTCTTTTGACTAAAATGAAAGCTTTGTCGCTCTGCCTTGCACATCTGCCTTGCTCACAGCTCTATCCCCAGGGCTCAGCTGTCCTTGTGCATGGCAGACATTTAATAAATATTTGTCAAATGAATGAATAAAAGCTTAACTCAGGATCCCATTTACCAGTCACCAAGTAGCATGCAGACTTACTGCCTCCATGATTTATGATAATACATTAAGTCAGTTTAATTGGAAGGACGTTCTTCTACTTGTCTGACTACATTATTTTATTTTATTTCTGATCTCTTGCCACAGCCAGGAATAGTGCTATGGGAAACAGGCTGCACAGTACCGGTTCTATTATGTAAGGGTTTTCATCTATTCTTGACGGGAAATAGGTCAGACAGTGCACCATTTGTTCTGATGGAACCATACTATTATGAAGTAGCTTTAGCTCGTTGCTCAGCTTCTCTGAGCATTTCAACTTGTTTAATAAGTTGCCAGATATAAAATAGGATTGAAGGATAAGAACAACTGAATTTATCTTTTAAGTCCTGTTTCTTCTTTTTAAATCCCATAGACCTCAAAAATCAAGTCTGTTTTATTGTATCCCAATTTATAATGCCCAAGTAAAATAGTCGAAGGCAGCTTCATCTCTGAGTTCACAGTGGTGCAGAGCACAGAGATTTCAAAATAATTACCAGAATTCCATTTTCTCACCTTTCTTATTTAAGATAATAGAAATAATGACAGGCATCTGAAAACTTTGGCAGTATTTCCCCACTCCTTTGAATATTTAAAGTGTATAATATTTTCACAAAAATTGCCAATTTAAATAATGGTGAAGGATGGGAATACATTTAGTTACAGAAATGTTGACACCAAAAAGATGATTTAGCTTGCATTTAACAACAAAGTAATTTAAATATCCTGGAATAATGAAGTCATAATTCACAGTTACTGTAATTCTGATAAAGAACTGCTAAAAGGTACACTAAACATTTAAAAATATTACTGTATTTAACAGTATGATATGATCTTTTTATTTTTATTTTTTGTAGAGATAGAGTCTCCCTCTGTCTCCCAAGCTGCTCTTGAACTCCTGGCCTCAGTGATCCTCCCACCATGGCTTCCCAAAGTGCTGGGATTATAGGTGTGAGCCACCACAGCTGGCAGAGCTGACTTTGTAAAAGCCTTTATAAACTAAACCAAATGTAAACAAAAATAAACTATACATCTTGACAATTCTATTTTTGGTCTAAGTCAAAGCAGGTAAATTTTTTCCCAACAGCTTTATTGAGCTATAATTAATATCCCACAATTTAAAGTCTACAATTCAGTGGTTCTTAGTATATTACAGAGTTTTGCAACCATCTCCACTACCTGTGGAACATTTTCATCACCCCAAAAAGAAACTCTATACAAATAAGTACTCATTCCCCTTCCCCAGCCCCAGTCAAGGCCTAATTTAATTTCTGTCTCTATGGATTTGCCTATTCTGAATATTTCATGTAAACAGAATCATATTTATATGACAATATATGACTTTTTGTGACTAGCTTCTTAAACTTGGCATAATCATTTCATAGTTCATCCATGTTATAGCATGTAACAACGATATTTCTTTTTATTGCGGAAGAACAGTTCGCTGGATGGATAAACCACATTTTGTTTACCCATTTGTCAGTTCATGAACATTTGCGTAGGCGTCACTTTTTTGCTGCTGTGAATAAGGCTGGCATGAACAAGATTTTGTGCGGACATATGCTTTCACTTCTCATGGTGTGTAAGTAGGGGAGGGATTGCTGAATCATAAGGTAACTAACTTTCTGAGGAACTGCCAAACTGCTTTGCATGGCAGCTGCACCATTTTACGTTCCCACTAGCAGTGTATGAGGGCTCCAATTTCTCCACATCCTCATCAACACTTGCTATGGCCTATTTTATTTTGGCCAGTGGGTCTCACTCAGTGGTTTTGCTTTGCATTTTGCTGATGGCTAATGATATTGAGGATTTTCATGTGCTTATTGGTCATTTGTACAGCTTCTGTTCAAATCCTTTGCCCATTTTTAAATTGAGTTGCCTTTTTGTTGTTGAATTTTAAGAGTTCTTAAATATGCTGGCTATGAGTTCCTGATCAGACAAATATAATTTGCAAATATCTTCTCCCATTCTGTGGGTTGTCGGTTGATGTTTCACTTTCTTTCTTTCTTCCCTTTTTTTAAAATTTTTAGTAGAGACGGGGTTTCACCCTGTTGCCCAGGCTGGTCTCGAACTCCTGACCTCAGGTGATCTCCCCCACCTTGGCCTCCCAAAGTGCTGGGATTATAGGTGTGAGCCTCCGCGCCTGGCCTCACTTTCTTGGTGTTATCCTTTGAAGCACAAAATTTTTCAAAGGACAAACTTTGAATGAAGTTTTTGGATGAAGTCTAATCTGTCAATTTTTTCTTGGTGGTTATGCTTTTGGTGTCATAGCTAAGAAACTATTGCCTAATCCAAAGAAGCAGATAGATTTGTACATAGTTTACATACATTTTTCTATTCTGTAGCAGTTTTCAAGGTAATCATCATCACATCATTTATACACAGCTGTGTGAATACATAACTACATCTTATGAGTGAAAAATAAGAGACTGGGCGCAGTGCCTCACGACTGTAATCCCAGCACTTTGGGAGGCTGAGGTGGGGGAGATCACCTGAGGTCAGGAGTTCAAGACCAGCATGGCCAACATGGTGAAACCCCATCTCTACTAAAAATTCAAAAATTAGCCGAGTGTGGTGGCAGGCACCTGTAATCCCAGCTACTCACGAGGCTGAGGCAGGAGAATTGCTTGGACCCAGGAGGCAGAGGTTGCAGTGAGCCTAGATCATACCACTGCACCCCAGCCTGGGCAACAAGAGCAAAACTCTGTCTCAAAAAAAAAAAAAAAAGAAAAAGATAAGAAACATATTTGAAAATTTACTGAATTATGTAGTTTTCTCCAGTGTTGA